TCGCCTTCCGTCATGGTGGTGGTGGTGTTTTTCAAGCTCAGGTGCCGGGAGCAGAACGTGAGGCCCACCTTCAACCTGTTCAGATGGTTCTTCAATGTGGTGCTGCTGGGGTTTCTGGATGTTTGTTTTCATGGTGATGCCAAAATTATAATTGATAAAATTAATGGCAAGGACGCAAGGGATTCTCGGATTGGCACGGTGCTGGAAGAGCTTATCCGGGTTTTTTCTTCTCATTCTACGCTTAGTGTCCGTTTTGTAGGTCGGAGTAGCAATAAGGTAGCCCATTTTGTGGCTCGCAAGGCCCTTTCTTTGTACCCGACTACATGTCGTTCCTTTGATTTTTAGACCTGGCTGAACTCCAGGGTGTAACTATCTTTTAATCTTATCAATATATCTTATTATCTTTTGTAAAAAAAAAAAAAAAGACGAGTTAGCAAGTTAATTGACCATTTTGGACCAAAAAGTGTATGAAAGTGCATAAAATAAACGTATTGTTATGGAGCACTTCTACTATGCTACATAGTATTGGTGCTTTAATGTACAACTTACAGTCATATTAAACAAGAGGAATTTTACAATGCTATATAGCATTGATGCTATAAGTTTTTACATTTATGGTACAACTTGAAATTGTACCTTTAATGTTATGGTACAACTTCAGATTGTACCTATATTTTTTGTACAAATTCTTTTATGGTACAACTTAAACTTGTACCTTATGTGATGGTACAACTTCAAGTTGTAAAGTTGTACCATAACATAATGATCCAAATTCTTTTATGGTACAACATAAACTTATACATTTAATGTTATGATACAACTTCAAGTTGTACATTAAAGCACCAATACTATATAGCATAGTAGAAGTGCTCTTTAAACAAATGTCGATATATACCTATGAGAATGGATAGTGAAAGAGGAATAGAACCGATGATTTTGCTTGGTACTTTTGATCGACAAATCAATCAGATTTCTTTCGTATGTGCCCTTCATTCAACGAGAAAATGAACCGGATTCTACAGGATCAACCCTTTAAAAGTTCGTCTTATTAATCTAGAAGACCAAATTATGAGTCGTAGAAAATGCATGGAGTAGTTGTCATTAATTTTTCAAGTTATATCATCATATTAAAGAAACATGATTAACATTTAAAATATTATAATTGGAGTCTAGTTTTAACCTGCAATACCCAAATGTTCAGGTAAAATAAAGAGACTAACTACTTTCTTTTTGGTCTTCTTATACATATACAGGTAAACATTTTTCTGTAAGTAGTTGTCATTTTTTCTATAAATAGTTTTCATTTATACAAAAAAAAACCCTAAATAGTCTTCCTTTTAAGTATACCATAATATGCGACCAACTCGGTTTTATCAATTTGGCTTTTCGTTTCCACTTCATTTGATTTGCAGCCTTCTCCTCCGAGGAATGTGATGACTGTACACGCCGGCAAAAGAAAATAAGTCGGCCGACTTACTTATTTCTCCAATCTCCCATTAATATATTGCACACTTTTGTGTACTTTTCAGCAATTCAAAATCTCTCCTCTCCTCTTCATTTGCGGTAAGGGTTTTTTTGTAAATGACTCACATCTATTTTTCTACGGACGCGGGATGTGTCGACAAAAAATCTGGATCGCCTCTTTGTTTTTTCCATTCTCCCCTCTCTCGGACCCTATTCTTTTTCCTCTTCTTCTCTACTCACGATCTAAACCTCAATTGATTGTGATTTCTCTTCTCTTCACTTCCATCGTTTGGAATAACAAATCTGATGTCTCCCATGTGAATCTATTGGTCATGCTTTGCACCTTTTGGTTGTGCCTTCCCTGAACAATGGAGAAGTGGACCAGGAGATCAATTGCTTCGTTCGTGTTACGTTTCCTCTGGTTCAATTTGTGGCTTTCCCTTCCACAAAGTCAAGGCATTACAACATACTGGAATTCAACTGGCGTTTGGTGGTGGTGATACGACCATCAGCTGCCTCTCACTTTGCTTCCTCTTTCTAAGGGTTTCCTCGCCGGGAGATTGTTTTGAGGTATGTTGCGTTTTCTTTCCTCTTTTACTTAACAAGAAGGGGGTTGAGTTTGCCTGCGTAGTGGACACCTATGAGAGATGTTCTTTTACAATCTACCAATCTCATTCACTCTAACGGTCGCACACAATAGGGTTGGTTTTAGTAGTTTCTAACTTAAGGTTGGTCGTTATTAAGGAGGAAGGTCCATCAGGCTCGGCGACTCACATCGTCAAGCTCATATCCCCCAAGTATTTAATTTTTGAATTGGTAGCTAGGTTATGAATTGGGTATATAGAAATATTGATTTTTCCCCTGGGAATGTTTGTATCCCTAATGAATTACGAGTTTGCTTGATGTTCTTATGCACAATCTAGATGACTTTGTTACTGGAGTAAGCATTCTTTTCGGACGGGGTGTTAATGAAGTTTGTTAAGTACATTTGGTTGTATTTTTTGTCTGTAATGAAAAATCTAGGTTGATTTTGAGTTTTACCACCAATCTTTATGCCTTGCTGAAATTGGGTAATTTGATTTAATAAATTTGTTGGATTCTACAGTTGTTTTCTCTGAGATGAATTGATGTGATTTAACTTATTTACATTAGTTGTTGGAACCAATGCAGTTAAAAGCGCGATTCTACCTAAAGCTACGGATGCCTGTGAAAGAGAGGTAGACACATCACTTGCCTAACACAGTGTAAACAACATGCTTAGAAATCTTTTCCACTAAAGCTACAGTTGCTGAGAAATCTTTTCCAAATGAACGATATTTTGATATTGTACCGTTTGTTTTCGTGACCTACGAAAACGTCGTGCTACTTCCTATATGTGCCTATAATTAATGATCATATGTTAGTTCAAAACGATTGTGATGCATTAGCCAGAGTAACATACTGCATATAATATAATTTAATATTATTTATCAAGGATTCACCTTCAATTACAGTTTTTTGGACAAGAGTATGCATTCTGACTCAAGATTCATAGTTTCCTCAAGCTATCCACTTTTCATAATCTCTCAATCTTACCTATGCTTATTTTACTCGACAATTGGCACAGCTGCAATTTTTAGAGAGTGACCTATCTAAAATTACTGTTGGATTGCCTAAACTTGCAAGGAGGAGACGCCATTGCTCTCATTGTCAATAAGCGCAGTCATAGCAACAAACAATTGTATATGTTGGACCCACTCTTGTCATTTGTTTGATGAGCATTATTTTTATGTCCTTCCACCATCATTTTCAATATGAAAATCATGCAACTTGAAGTTGGAACTCTTTGCTGCTTATTTCAGTTCAACAACTGGAGGATGAATTTGCAACCCTTAATGTAGCCAGTGATAGATTGCTGCGTAGGATTTACTTGCATCACAAACGAAAATGAGAGTCTTACTTTTGGAAGTGAACTCATACGACTTACGAGTAAGTAGTATAATTTATCATATTCCTAACATTTATTGTGTCTCACTGCTATTAAGTTTTCAAGTTAATTACTTATTGTCATCGATCCTTTACTAACGAAAGCTATGGCTTTTTACTGTATTTAGTTTGTCTTGATGTTGAAATTTTCTCCATAGGAGAGCCATTTTATGTATGTTCCTTCTGTTGGCCAAAGCTATGGTGGTTAGAAACTGTCGGGAAAACATGAAATATCGAAGATTCCCTTTTTCGCTTTGTTGTAAGCAATGCAAGGTCAGACTACCACCTCGGAGAGATCCACCAAAATTCTTGAAAACCTTACTGGAAGAGCAAGTGGTGACTGGCCACCATTTTCATGAGTTCGTTTGTGGGTAGAAGAGTGTCTTACTTTTATATCTCTTGGTGGTAAGGTGGATAAACTACAAATCATGGTTCATGTGTGTATGTATACTCAATTGGTGATCAAGTATACCTTCATATAGGAATTCTGGTACGAGCTGAAGGTATGCCACCGAAATTCGTGCAATTGTTTATTCATGATACAGTGAATGGGTTGCAAAATCGTTTTGATTTCTACAAGTTTGATAGAGAAGTCGATGATCATATGTTTTGTTCAAGGATTACAAGAGATTGATGGTCGATGATCACATGTTTTAGTTTTGACATTTCGTAGTGCAAGAAATTAAATAGGATAAATGAAGATGATGTTCATCAAGTTGATTTGATAGTAGGGGTGTCCATCCGGATTCGTTTTTTTGTTTTAACCAAACCGAACCGGTTATATGCATTGTCGAGTTTTTTAGTTTGGTTTTGTTTTAGATTTTGGGTTATCGGGTTTGATTTCTCCTTATCGGGTTCGGCTTAAACACCTTAACGCATAGCACCTGGGTCATATCCTAGGGGTTTCGGTTTTGTTTTAACCGAACCCAAAACCGATAAGGAGGTTTTTGGTTTCGATTTAGTAGTCGATCAAATTCTGCTCAATATACCTAGGCGTTGTTGTGTCTAACATAGAAGAACTTCGTCTATATATTCCAAACGACAGTGTATAACTTTGTATTTGCCTTCTCCTCAGACACTTATCGACATCGTACATGTCCTCTCTCATTTCTGTACCCTTTAATAGTGTCCACTTAAACGGGATACTATTGGTATGTATTCATTGGTTGAGGACAACGGGGAAGGATAGCCTGGTTTTCAATTTACACGCTTTGGACCCAATTCCACAACCACGGAATACCTTCTCCCGATATAGTCTGGTTCGTTAAACCGCCAAGCTAAACACTTTATGGGGTCTGGTTGGGTTGGCTCTTAAGCAAAACCACAACCCAATTATTAGCTTTGTGCTTATTTCTCCAGCCAACGGGCCGACTCACAACTAGTTGTTGATATATGATGATGTACGCTTCTCCGGCGGGTAAAGCTGATTGATAACAACCCCAATTAGCTAGCCAGCGACGTTTGGAAAGTGGTATACAAAAGTACGTACAGTATATGGATTTCAAGAAAAGTAACGAAATGAATTATTAATTAAAGAACAGCTTTCAATAAAAAAAATTATAGTATGTATTTGTCATGCTATTATTATATTCAGTGTGTACTCAGCTACAAGCGAACTCTCTATATATACATCTCCACGCACCATTACATTCTAAACGATAAATGGTTACAAAAGAAAGAAACGAAAAACAAAAAAGCTTTACAAATAGAGAAAAGAATCATATTTGCACGAGAGAAAATTAGTTCCCCAAAAGAGGAAAGAATTGAATCAAAATTCCTATGATATACACTGAAATGAAAATGAAATTATGTGCAATTAATCAATTTGAAGCAAAGCGTGTGAAGAAGAACCCTAGCTCGTTCACATAGAGGAATGGAGGTCCTTGGAGACCTTCCACCGATGCAAAACTTGACCAAGAACGTCATGAAACAAAACCTCGACGTTGGCGTTGGTGAGTTGCATGGACATGAAGCCTTGACCATCGTAGAAGAACTTCATCACACGTTCATCGTACTTCTTAGTGTCACCCCTCCATGCCTTCGAACCTGCTCCGCTCGTTAGGTATTGAATCGGGCTGTCTCACCATGAGCGCAAATTTTTTCATAAATCGTCATCAATTAAATACTACATGATGAATCAATAACTAACAAAATCTTAACCAACTCTATGCTAGTTGATATTAAGTTCTTGCATGTAATAATGGTGTAACTAGGTTACCTATCATGGCTGCTGATATGCTCCAGGCAATGGTCATGACCATTTACATACAGATCTACGTTGTTGGCCTGTACACATAAATCGTCACAAAACTATCCAAATATAACTCTTTTCCAAGAAAATGGTCTCCAAAAGCACCAAAACGGTTGCAAGAACCTATTTTGCAACAAGATTTGCGGTCACAAAAGGCATTGACAGAAATTGAACAACAATCAAACCTTTAGAATGGGAAGGAGATGTTGGATGAGCTCTTCGGTGTCGCCGTGGTGGCCGGCGCTTCTGATAGCATGGTGGCCAACCACGATCTTCCACCTTGAACTGCTCTCTCTCAGTGCAGTCTCCAAATCCTTCATTAATTAATACAAAAAGTTATACATTCATTCAAGTGCAGATGTTGCAATGTTCCCTAATGTTGCAATTAGGGTGATTAATTAACGTACAATTAATAGCATTAAATTTTACCTTGAGAAGGTTGGCAAGGTAGGCTTTGCGAGGAGAGACACCTCTCCAATCGTAAGTGTGTGATTCCTCTGTGTAATACTTGTCCACGAATGGGGTGGTGTCCACGAAAAAGAACGTCGCAATTTCTAGTTTAAGTCGTCATTGTTATAGGTTAGTATGTGAAACATCAAGCTAGCTAATTGAGATTTAAAAAAAAAAAGAGTTGATTGAAATTTTTGCCTGTATCGACCATGAAATTTCTGAGACAGAGCCATCTACTATCAACTTTTCTAAGAAATGGATTCAATTGTGCAACAGCGTCACCTCTGTAGTCATGGTTCCCTAGGACTACACATACAAATAGAGAAAAGGCCACATAATTAATTTAATTAAAGTTAGGAATTAAGTAGACTATTGATTATATACTAAGAAGTCAAAAGCGAGTTATTACATAGAAGCGTTTTGGTAATTTAGAAGCGTAAAACCGTAAGATTTTAAGTTCTAAAGCGGGTTTTTAACTACACTAGTTCTAAAAGCTGTGATTCTGCGTAGAAGCGTTTTGGTGACCTAGAAATGTTAAAACGTAAATTTTTGAGTTTTAAACCGAGATTTTGACCACATTGATTATATACATATAATTAGATGCATATACTTACTGGTATACCATGGCTTCTGCAGACTTTCTGCAGTGTAAACTTCGGTGAAAGACTCTTCAAAAGCTGGATCGTGTGGGCCTTTAAGCCCATCATCGTAGAAATTGTCACCCGTTGAAACCACAAAGTCTATGTCTAATTCCTTCCCAATCCTTCCCATCTGCAATTACATTTTATTAATGTTCAATTTTAATCGTCACCAACCCTAATCCAGCATCCTTAAACCATCATAATGAAAACGTCAGACAAATAGTGACCAAAAGCAAACAAAATCGTTGCCAAAGCTCTAGCTTTGGCGACCGGAAAAAATTTGCGACCAAGTAGAGTTGGTTGTCAAAAGTCGGAAAGACGTTGCAAAAACTCTATTATGAAGCGCACCTGGGAAGCAACAATGGTTTGGTTGAAATGGCCACGCCTGCCCCAATCCCCAACAACCAAAAGGCTAAGAGACCCGTCGTCCTTCACTTGGTGTTCCAGCCGTGTGAGTTGGGAGAAGCAGCTAGGAATCGTGAAGAAGAAAATGATGGAGAAGAGGACAACAACTAACGGCATTCCGACGACCCTTTTCAAATTGCCAAACGACGACGACGATGAAGCGGCGCCTGCGATTCTCCCTCTATTGATCTGATGATTATGATTATGAGCCATGGTATTTGTAATTACCATGGCCAGATTCCGGCGAGAGGCCGGCGAGGGAGAGGGAGGCAAATAGAGGGAATTGATTCAAAATTGTTTAGTTTGTGGGGAGAGTGTAACCGGAAGAGCCGCGTGTTTATATAATGAACCAAATTCATGGTCAATTTTGAGGAACGATGGTACTTGATTCAAGGAGGACTCGAATAACTTAGGGTATTACGTACACAAATGAGGGGGGGAAAATAGGCATCCAATAGAATTGATGGATGCAAATACATTAAAACACATTTCGTTCTGTATTTGAGTGGGATCTGGGATGGAGAAACTTTGCACGGGATGGTGAAAAGAGAATAGCCAAAAACAAAAACTTTACCGTTTCGACCGACTCAATTAATCCATGTGCAAACAATTTTTTGATTAAATATTTTATTTTTATTAGAGTTTGTGCTCTGGTTTGAACTTGAACTTTGAACTGACATGAATTGTCGATCGAAGAAACATCGTTAAAATATGGGGTCGGTTAAGCAATCGACTCAAATAGCAGACACTAATTGGAAGCTAAGTTTAGTGCCGGTTCAACCAAACCGATACAAAATAATGTTTTTCTTCGAACGGGTCAGATCAGTTTAAATTTTTTGGGCCAGAACAGTAACAAATCGATCGGTGCACTTGATGCATCCTGTTTCTTTATCTCTCTGACTCTCCGTTGAGGGCTTTGACAAAATAAAGAAGCAAGAGTGAAGGTATTTATTTGATCAACCCATTTGACCAACATTATATTCTCAATTATATCAAAGACTATTCACCATGCTAATCAATCAAAAGAAAATGGATCATATATATTGATAATAACTTCATTTGTTTTTATATAACCACATCATCATATCGCTCATTAGCCCTTACAAGTTGAAAAATTAAAAAGGCTCAAATGAAGAAACCACCAAATGTTTATTGTCATAACTATAAATATCCCTTTGGTGGTTCTTCCAATGTTTTCAAGGCCGACTATTAGTAGCACCATAGCTTGTGGCCTTCGTTGCTTCAGCTTCAGGCAAGGATATTGGCGTCCCAACTATCAAACGAAAATGTCAAATTTTCGCCCCAAATTACAACGGCTAGTAAGCCAATTCGGTGGAGCGACGTTGTCTCGGGAAAGGCTTCAAGTTCCTCAACTGCAACGGCGCCGTCTCGCACAGTGGAGAACACTCTCAACAAAACGTCGCCATAGCACTCCAACGTCTCTTTCACCCTTTTGTTTCTGTTCCCTTCAAACTCTGCATTTCCTGCTTTCACAGTCTATAAACAACAGCCAAGAGCTGTTTGTCTTCTATTGATCCAACCCTGTATATAAGGAACACAATCATCAATGAGAAAACCAAGTTAGGGTTTCAATTGCACATCTGGTATTACCAACTTGAACGTTAGAGTCCTGGGTTCGAACTGGTAAGCAGCAGTAATTGATCAGAGGATTACAACATAGGTTATAATGGTGGGGCCTTAACGCCTTGGGTGACAACATTCCTTGAGGAGCTACTGAGATTTTATCGGTGTCTCTGGTGGCTTCAAAGTCATGATGCATCGCAGCGACGATGACCATGTCTGCACGACGAACGTGATACTTGTCTTGATCTCTATGGTTGGCGTGTTTGTAAAGGTTGTGTTTGTCTATAACAGGATTTCAACTCCTAAAAGTTTAAATTGCAACGGTCGTCCCCAATTGTTAGAGACGAAGACTTGTCCGACGCCGTTTTTCCTCTTTGGTTCCTCACTTACCAATTCGCTGTCGTTCCACTCTGTTTCCAAGTTTGCTGTTCATTTTCTTTTTGCTCAAGACATAGCTTGTTTCCGTTCCAAGCTAAGGGACAAACCATGTAAAAGCATTGTTGTCTTCTTGTGTTTGATCAGCCTATATAAGGCTTGTGATGAATGAGAATGAATCAAGTTTAGGGTTTCAATCTCCTCTATCCTTTGTTATGGTATCAGAGCCTAAACCCTAGCCGCCGTCACTCAAATGGCCTCCACAGGAGCCAACCAAGATGATGTTCTCAACAACCAAAACCAACCTAATCCCATTCCACAAAATGTCTACCCTATGGAAGATCCTTACTTCCTTCATGGTTCTGAGCAACCTGGTTATCTTCTTGTGGGTGAAAAGCTCACTACCACCAATTATAACGACTGGAGCAGGGCAATGTTGAATGCCTTAGCCGCCAAAAACAAACTGGGCTTCATCAATGGTGCTGTTCCTGAGCCTGCAGAGACAGATCCACGAAGAGGAGCCTGGGTACGCAACAATGTCATGATCTTGAGCTGGATCCAGCAAGCTGTTGAGTCAGAAATCAGGAAAACCATCTTGTCTAGTAAGTCTGCTGCAGAAGCTTGGAAAAGTCTTCAGACCAGGTATGGATCTGGTGACATTGTTCGAGTGGCTGAGCTTGAAGAGGCCCTTTCCACTTTAAAGCAAGGTGATCAATCTATCACAGAGTACTATGGTCAGGTCATAACCCTAAGAGAAGAACTTGAGAACTATCAACCTCTTCTTCCCTGTGATTGCACTCCTACTAGTCACTCTACTTGCAGAGCTATGCAAAAGGTTTTAGAGTACCAGGAAACTAGCTATGTCATCAAATTTCTTCGAGGTTTGAATGATAATTTCTCAGCTGTTCGTTCTCAAGTTCTGTTTGGTGATGATCTCCCTAACATCAATAGGGTTTTTCAACGTATGTTACAACATGAGAGGCAGTTGTATGGCACTAACAAAGGCAAGATGGTGGCCCTTGTACCAAGTGATTCTACTATTCTAGCTGTTGAGGGCAACAACAGACGCCCTCCCTCTTCTGGTAGAAGGCCATATTGCACCTTCTGTACACGTGATGGTAGGATACTTGCTATCAAAAGCATGGCTACCCTCCTGGCATGTCTACAAGACCTGCCCCATCCATTCCTGGCAAAATCATTGAGTGCACCTTCTGTAAGAAGCAAGGCCACACTGAAGAAAAATGTTTCCACAAACATGGTTTTCCACCCAACTTCATCTCCAGAAACAATACCACTTCTGCTGGTCGAGGTCGAGGTTCAATCAATGCTGCCACTTCCAGCACTAAAGATGAGTTCAAACTCACAAAGGCTGATTATGACAGGCTGATGGCTCTCATGGCTTCTCAAAACAACATCCATCTTTCTCTGGAGCTGCTTATGTTGCTACAAAAGGCAATCCAGGTAAATGTTTTCTCACAATTCCTCCTGGTCATACCACCCATAAGAACATGACTACTTGGATACTTGACACTGGAGCTTCAGACCACATTGTCTGTTCTCTGGACCTCCTAGTCAATTCTCAGAAACTATCTAATGTCTACATTACTCTTCCTACTGGTCAACAAATACAAGCTAATCATACTGGAACAGCCTTATGCCACACTGATTTGATCCTGCAAGATGTATTGTTTGTCCCAAACTTCACTTTCAACCTAGTTTCTGTGAGCAAGCTCACCACCCAAAACTCACTTCATTCCAACCTTTGTGTCATACAGGACCTGGAGCAGAAGAAGGTGAATGGTTCTGCTAGATTGCACAATGGCCTTTACTACCTAGATGTTTTCCCTTTCCCTGAATACATCACAGCAGTGACCTCCACCAGCTTTGATCTGTGGCACTTTAGATTAGGTCACTGTGTCATTCTAAAGTTCCCTATCTTGCTACTTTTTGTCCATCCATTCAAACTCAGAAAGGTTCTCCTTGTGATGTTTGCCCCTTTGCTAAGCAAAGAAGGCTCCCTTTTCCTTCCAGTCAACATGTAACTCAACACTCTCTTGAACTTCTGCATGTTGATATATGGGGTCCTAATTCTGTACCTAGCTATGATGGTTTTAGATACTTTCTTACCATTGTAGATGATTTTTCAAGAATGACCTGGGTTGTTCTTCTCCAACTAAAATCAGAAGTTCGACTGAAATTAATTGCCGTTTGCACTCAAATGCAAAGGCAGTTCAATACTCAAATCAAACGAATTCGAAGTGATCAAGGCAAAGAATTCCTGATGCATGATTTTTTTGACTCTACTGGCATCATCCATGAGATGTCCTGTGTGTAAACACCCCAACAAAATAGCAAAGTAGAACATAAGCATCAGCATATCCTAGCTATTGCTCGAGCTCTTCATTTTCAAGCTCACCTTTCTCCAGGTTTTTGGGCAGATTGCATCAAACATGCAGTCTACCTCATTAATCGTGTCCCATTTGCAGTACTTCAAAACAAAACACCACATGAGCTTTTCTACCATTCTCCTCCTGATCTAAGTGATTTGAAGGTTTTTGGATGCCTTTGCTTTTGCCTCTACTCTATCAAACCACAGAACCAAATTTCAGCCAAGAGCCAGAAAAGGAGTCTTCCTAGGCTATGTTCAGGGCATCAAAGGATATAAAATCTATGACCTTACATCTCATGACACTTTTCTATCTCGAGATGTCATTTTTTATTAATCTCATTTTCCCTTCCAAGCAAATCCCACTGCCATTTCCCCACCTTCAGCAACTTCAGACCTTTACCCCACAACAGATCATCAAATCTCACCCTATGATGATTTTGACCATGTACCTCTTCCCCTACAAGCTTCTCCTTCTCCTCCATCTCCTCCTCTTTCACCTGCCTCTCCAATACCATCTCCATCTTCTACCACACCATCCTCCACCTCTTCTTCCACTTCTGAACCTTCTTCTTCTTCACCATCTCCTTCCCCACCTCCACCACCTCAGCCTCCTAATCCTCGTCGATCAGATAGAACAATTAAACCTCCTGCTCATCTCACACAGGATTACCATTGTTACTTTTCTCAGCAATCTAGCAGCTCCAATCAACCACTTCTGCCTCAGTCCTCAGGCAAAAGGTAATCTCTTTCCTCCCTCCTCAATTATGACAGACACACCCCCTTCCACAGAAATTTTTTTCTTGCCATCTCTTCCTACCAAGAACCAAATTCATATAAAGAGGCTTGCCTATCAGACTACTGGAATGCTGCCATGAAGTCAGAACTTGCTGCACTTATAAAGAATCAAACATGGGATGTGGTGGAATTACCACCTGGGAAGAAAACCATTGGTAACAAATGGGTTTACAAGATTAAGGTTCATCAAGATGGGTCTCTTGAACGTTTTAAAGCCAGAGTTATGGCCAAAGGCCATACTCAGCAGGAAGGAGTGGATTTTCAAGACACATTTGCCCCAGTAGTTAAGATGACAACAATCAGAACCTTCTTAGCTGTGGCAGCTATGAGGAACTGGCATATTCACCAACTAGATGTGAATAATGCCTTCCTCCATGGTGATCTCCAGGAGGAAGTTTATATGACACTACCTAAGGGCTATGAACCACCTCCTGGTTTCACCAATCCTGTTTGTTGCCTTAAAAAGTCCCTTTATGGACTCAAACAGGCTTCTCGACAATGGTTCAGCAAGCTCAATGACAAACTGCAACTACTGGGTTACACTCAAAGTAAGGCAGATCACTCCCTCTTCTATAAAGCAACAGACTCTTCATACACCTGTGTTCTCATTTATGTCGATGATTTGGTTGTTGGTGGTAATGACCTTACTGCCATTGAGCATCTCAAGGCTCTTCTTCCTACAGAGTTCAGTATAAAGGATTTGGGTACTCTAAGGTTTTTTCTTGGTATGGAAGTTGCAAGAAACAAACAGGGCATTCATCTTTCACAAAGGAAATATGCACCGGAAATCATTGTAGAAGCAAGATTAATTGATTCAAAGACTGTCTCCACTCCAATGGATTACAAGGCACATCTATCTACTGCTTGTGATATCCCCTATGAGAATCCTGAACACTACAGAACCCTTGTGGGCAAACTCATCTACCTGACTACTACTAGGCCTGATATCAGTTTTGCCACACAATAAGTCAGCCAATACATGGGTTCTCCTAGTCAAGTTCACTACAAAGCAGTACTTCGTAATATCAGGTACCTGAAATCTGCTCCTGCCACATGCATTTTCTTCCCAGTTCAGGGTAATTTCCAACTCAAAGCTTTTTCGGATTCCGACTGGGCTGCTTGTGTGGACACCCGCCGCTCCATCACTGATTTTTGTGTGTATTTGGGCAATTCCCTCATCTCCTGGAAGAGTAAAAAGCAACAGACTGTCTCCCCCTCTTTCCTTCACCGCCTGTGAAGTCCAATGGCTGTTGTACCTCCTGCAAGACTTCAAGGTGGATCATTCTCAGCCACCAAACATTTATTGCGGCAATCAAAGTGCAATTTACGTCGCAGAAAACCCCACCTTCCATGAAAGAACCAAACATATCGAGCTCGACTGTCACCTCGTCCGTGAGAAACTTCAATCCAAGGTGCTTAAACTCCTCCATGTCTCTTCTTCCCATCAGCTGGCTTATCTCTACACGAAACCTCTGTCTCCATCGCCATTTCTTCAACTTGTCTCCAAGCTTGGCGTCCATGATCTCTGCCCGCCAACTTGCCGAGGGGGGGGGGGGGGGTAACAGGATTTCAATCCCTAAAAGTTTAAATTGCAACGGTCGTTCCCAATTGTTAGAGACGAAGACTTGTCCGACGCCGTTTTTCCTCTTTGGTTCCTCACTTACCAATTCGCTGTCGTTTCACTCTGTTTCCAAATTTGCTGTTCTTTTTCTTTTTGCTCAAGACAGAGCTTGTTTCCGTTCCAAGCTAAGGAACAAACCATGTAAAAGCATTGATGTCTTCTTGTGTTTGATCAGCCTATATAAGGCTTGGGATGAATGAGAATGAATCAAGTTTAGGGTTTCAATCTCCTCTATCCTTTGTTAGTCTACACTGTCCATCGCTGCCTGTAGGATGTGGTGAAACGAAGAAATATAGGACTCATCTTTCTGAGTGCGGTTTTAACATCCCTCTTTGTTGTTTTCCTCTCCGTCGTGTTCGAGAATCCCCTACGCAAGAAATTTGCAGGATATGCGATGATGAACTCCTCAGACTTAGTGGTCGTGGCTATGATGTCTAATAAGTGGATGTGGCACTCAGACGAGATCCCGAACTTGTCCATGGGTGCTTACTTGTACATATTAATGGCAACAATATTCAATATGTCGAATGCAATTATGACTATAAAATGTTTCATCATAGTAAGTATATCATATAAAAGTTTTTTTTTTTTTTTGTTCTATGCATTTGATTATGTCACGCCATCGATGGTGCCATGCATGGGATTATCTTGCTCACGGTGGGAGAGCATATTATTGCTCCCGTCCTGTGCATCCTTACGATACTTTCATGCATACGTAGCAAGATTCTACTGCAACAATCTCATGTACCGCTTACGCCTACGTACGAGTCCCCCAACGTAATAAAGAACACATGAATAAGACTATTTATAGACAAACAAAGACATCTAGGTGAAGCATTGGATAACTGTTGTGAATTGTTATGTATAACCTGTGCCCAAATCGGTTATATTAATTCTACGTTGTTGTGACTTGTGACCAATATTGGTTCTCCAACCAACTAAATACACCGTGTGTCCACTAGTGTTGTAATTGGACAACTATATTTTACTGTTTCATATACAAAACAAAGATCGCTAATCACAACTTCTAGCATGTGCATGCATGGAGAGATGATCATTGATTTGATTTGTTTCTTTTCTCATAGCTATCCAGCAATGAGGGCGAGAAGGAACGATCTGTAATGGCCAGATGTCTCGGAGTGAATAACGTCCACCAACGGCTTCTTGAACCTCTTCTGGTACTCCACCTTAATCTCCTGCATATCGATCTCCGCCCTCGTCACCACCACCCTTATCACCGCCGTGTCGTGCGTCCCCAGCCCTCTCATCGCCTTCCTCATCACTTTGGCGTAGTACTTCGCAGGATTCTCGGCGCACTGCAGGATCGCCGACAGCCCGTTCTTGAAACTCCCCGACGTCACGTCCTTTATCGCCTGCATGCATGCACACGTAAATATCTATAATACGGTAAATTCATGCCAGAGCGACTTAATTAAATATATTACGTAAAGCGCACCATCCTGAGATCTTTTTGGTACATGGTGAAGTAAGCCGAGCGGAGAGCGACAAGGTGGGCCCTACTCCTCTCGGTGAAAAGCTCGATCAAAACGGCCTCGTCCGACGAGCTCCCGGCCTTCACCTTGCGTATGAAATTGGCGTCGCTCTCGACAAGCAGCGCGTCGATCTCGGGGCCCTCGTAGCGCGTGGTGTTGATGTAGGCCAGCAGGAGGCGCTTGTGATCGCCGGAGGCGTGGGACTTGATGTCGTCCTCGAGGGAGCTCCATTTGGAGAGGTAGACCTGTTTGATCTGCCGGATCTGGGCGCACGTGCGCGTGCAGATGAGCTCCGTCACGCCTCGGGCATCGAACAGCGGGACCGACTTGATCGCCTGGCGGAGCGCGATGGCGTCGCGCTCCGCTGGGTTCTCCATCCACAGCAGGACTGCTTTCTGGTGGAAGAATTTAACAGACGGACGGACTTTTTTATGCATTGGCTCAAACACTTTGCATGCGGTCAACGTTTTAATTAAGGAAGTGATGTTGACGTATGTTCATACGTACCTTGAGATTGCCGTGGAGTTCATCGGCTAAGACTTTCCGGAGGTCGTGGGAGAACAAGGTTTCGTACTCTTGGAGGATATGATCTCGGTGTGATGCGTCTCTGTGTGCCAGAATGTTTACCACTGCTCCCGTGTCGCAGCCTAGCCCTACATTGACGCATACATTCAAAATTATTCGGAACCGATGAACAGTTTTACAAGTGATAAAAAAAGGGATAAAATCAAGATTTGTGGGGTAGATCTAAAGTTTTTCTAAGAAATCAAGATTGATGAAGCCAATGCAAAGTAAAAAACAAAACAAAAAATGGTGACAAATATTTATTGTGCAATGCAAGTAATCTAAGCTAGAAGGTGAATGAAATTGTTAATATGGCCATTAAGGGGGAAATGGGTATATGATTAGGAAGGAACCTTTGAAGGCACGATGGAGGTTTTGGGCATCCTCGCGAGGAGAAGGTTGGGGTGAAGGCACTGTTAATGTTGACATGATGTGATTGTTTTTATTGATCTTTCGATCTCAATGCACAAAAAGTCTTGATTTTTCAGAACTTCCGAAGAAATTGACTTGATCAATGAAGGGCACATTAATTAGGGAACCCCAACAACGTGCAATCACCATTGCTTCTTTCTGAAGGAACAAACTTAACATGAGATGGAAATTTGTCTTTTCTACTGCTTTATTCTGCAAAAATTTAAAATAGATGGTGAAAGCTTACCTAAAATTGAAAGAAAAAGAACTACTTTGGAAACGAAGGCCTTGTTCAGAGAAACACAGTATAAGGCCCAAAACGATGAATTGGGCTCATTAGGGGAAACAATAGAATGGGCTTAATTCCACCTTGTTATCGTTTTTTTTATAGAAGACGGATGCAAATGCGTTCTATATCACTTCATTAATATCACAGACACATGGAAACACTTATGTTGTCGTACAAAAGCTAGTAGCACAAGTTTGGGTCGCTCACATCGCTATTAACAAAATAAGAAGAAGAAAAATATTGGCCGACGAACCAAACGTTGTGAGAGTTTTTTCAACACTCTAATGTCGTCGATCGAAGTTTTGATTATTTGACTAGTTTGTTTCAAGCTTGAGATAAGTAGGGTCGACACACGAGCACTTCTACTATGCTATATAGTATTGATGCTTTAATGTACAACTTAAAGTTGTACCATAACATTAAATGTATAAGTTTAGGTTGTACCATAAAGCAATTTGTACCATTATGTTATGGTACAACTTTACAACTTGAAGTTGTACCATCACATAAAAGTACAAGTTCAAGTTGTATTATAAAAGAATTTGTACAAAAAGTATAGGTACAATATGAAGTTGTACCATAACGTAAATGTATAATTTTAAGTTGTACCATAAAAGCAAAATACTATAACACCAATACTATATAGCATTGTAAAATTTCTCTCAGACACACAACTCACTCAATCAAATGGGAATCACGAGGCTCCAGCTTTTCAAGTCGATCGGTGACCAAAACAGAAAGCTCACATGGCAGTATGGGCTAGATGGTTACTAAAACCATTTGTCCATTTCGTTTCCTCCCCAACTGTAAAGAACGTATGAATCCAAAAATATTTTGTTTTGTATATTATTAAAGCACAATCGTTCTTTCCTAGCCAGTAGTGACCAATAATTCTGGATAAATCCAAGTAGCTAGACTTGAGGGCTGAGGCCGCTATCGATCGTTTTATCTTTGGATATACAAATCCTAGCTAGCTAGGCCAACCGCCCAAGATCAACCACAGAATTAATTATATTCAGTTGGCATCTATTGGTGTCGTGTCTCCAATATGTTGAACATGGATGGTGGATGGAAATGGTAGAGTAAGGTTTTCTATATCTAATAAAATTATTACTATCTCCATTCGATTCAATTATTTGGCTTTTGTTGGTGTCTTATAATCAAATAATCAACTTCTTGCTCTAATACATTATTTCAATTTCTAATTTTAAATTATCATGAACACGGACTTAACTTTACTTTATCCTTCGTATTCTTACCGTTCTGATAATTTCCTTCGAGACTTCCATAAAATTGTGGTCATATATATTTATATCACTCGCAAATCTTTTAATGGATCCCCTACAAAAAGGCCATCGCTTTGTTGTAGAAATTTTATTTTACATATGCCGTTTTATGAAAAATCATTTTGTCAGATTACCAAAAGTTGATAAAGTTATCTGAATACTAGATTCATGTCGATTAGCCGTCAGGAACTAAATGCGAAATTCGAAAAACGATCTATAACCGGACAATACCCTTAGAGTAAGATGGGGAAGGTTTTGTGTCATTCCTTAATCCGATCTTCCTTATGAGGAAAAGAAGATAGTGTTTTGATCTAGGTGTATTAAAGACAATAACCTCTAGGTTTCTTATATACTAGTTTCACATATAGCTTCTGTAAATCCCTAAGTAGGAAAGTATCTGGTTTCCAATAAAAAAAAAAAACTAACATAAATTGTTTACAATCCTGCAACTCCCCACCACTTACAAGATCACCTGATCCTTCCACGGTGAATTTGTTTATTTTTGCACACATATATACTTCCGCTCCTACTATTTTCGTATTTGGTTGCAAACTGCAATAGAGGACTCGAAGATGGTAATACGTAACTGGCCAAGGGAAACAAAATGAGGAATTAGTTGGTGATAATTGACAACCGAAGTTTCCTATGTGCGTGTTCTTCCTGCTAATATTAAATTATTTGCAACTGGAGATTGTATTGTACATATTGTGTAGAGGAAGGGCAATTATTATGGTTCAATCAATGGGCCTTGAGGGATGGAGATCCTCCAATCCAATTCCAAAGATGAGCCAAATCTCATAGATGATTCCGGAATTACACACTTTTTCCACGAATGATTGCATAAATAGATAATATATTTTAATCATTAATTAATCATATTAACATGGAAGATAAACTGACAGGAACATGGTGAACCCAATTCACATTTTTGTTGTGTTTATATTTCTTGACCACTTATATATTTATGGGTTGTTTGATTGATTATTGGATTTGAAAATTGAAAGGATATTTTTTTTCATTTTTGCCTTGGAGATTTGATAATTTGTTGAATTTGATAATGTATTGGGTTTTTTTTTATATAAATATATAAGGATATTGTTGTTGAAGACCCTCAATAATTTGGGGTATTCCAAATTTTATCTCACACATACTGTTTACTTTGTTTAAATCTCATGTTCAAACGACCCAGTTTAATAATATTGTTAAATGCAAGTATAGAAAATTTTGAAAATAACTCTAAAATTTTTTGACACTATACAATATTCCTAAATTGGTAACATATTTAGAAGAAGAAAAAAACATCGATTCTCACCAATAAGATAAGATTATTTGAATCTCAACAGGCAACATAGTTAGAACTTCAAGAGGTTAACGTAGCGATAATAAAAAAAATCCCCCACATCTAAAATTCAAGCTGGAATCAACCAATGGGCATTTTCATCTTCCAAAATAGGAGATAAAGAAACGTTTGAGCCATCAGTTTTTCACCTTCGCCTCAATAGCTCTACAAGTATTACTCTTCTCCTTCACAATCTGATCTTCGAAAAATTCTTAGCTCCAATTTTATAAGTTGGATGCAGAAACTCCAACCTAACCGTTTTAAAAACAAATCGGTATCAACGTTTAATCTTGTAAAACCCAACAAAAACTCGTTTCTTACTACCCACCGTCCTTTTATAAAACAAAATAAGAAAGCCGGTCCATGGCTAGATTCTTTTTATCTCTATATATATAATATATATAGTTCCACCATTAGTTCTTCGTTGGCCTTACCTCGACAGTCGACGCCACTACTGTAATTTATGAAAAGTAAGGTTGTCAACCCGCGGGTTGACCCGGACCCGGTTGAGCTAGTAGGTCAAGGGTTAATGGGTCACTCGGTTTAGCCCGAAAATATGGAAAGCGTCATTATATTGTACTTATCCTGATAAATTATATCAAATCTCATCTAACAAATGAGTTATAACATATAATATTACACCAAAATAACATTTCGTACTTAGATTCAACATATAGTGAAAATTCACACACACTTACATAACATTAATATTCAAATGTTCAACTTAGGATTCCAAAGATTGAGTTAGGCGACAAGAAAAATCGGAAAATAGGCGCATTTCGCAAAACAAAGAAAAAAATGATACAATTTGACCTCCAACCTGGCACCTTGTAGCGGTCGACCCGGCGGATATGTGCGGTCCGTTTTTCTCACCGGATCAGTGTCAAAGTGGGTCGACCCAAGTTGACAACCTTGATGAAAAGAAATCACTCGGTTTCTTTAATGGATCCGACGTGGATTCAAAAGTCACTTTCCTCCCTACCCCTTAGTGCTTTGTGTAAATATAAATAGAAGTGAGATTAGGCGCCGTTTGTCACCTAAATCAGTGGATTTCGTATCCTTCCTTCGTCCCCGGCCACTTTATCTCTATTCTCCCTTTAATTTTCTCTCCTTCTGGCTGGTCACCATGTCCCGCCATCCACAACAACGAGTAGCTTCGGTGGCCGTTTTGCTGTCCGTCGTATGGTTCGTGGCCGCGACGGCCGAGCTGCCGCGTCTGGAGCACGACACCGTGAAGGACGGCGCCGCCGGCGGATCCCTGGCCGTGTTGGTGGTCGGCGACTGGGGAAGAAAAGGAGCCTACAACCAAACTCGAGTTGCCACTCAGGTACGCAATCTCTCTTTCCTTCTTCTCTCTAGCTAGCTTTTCATCATGTCTAAAGTCTAAACCTCAATCTGCAAAAGTAGTAAAAAAAAGAAAGCGAGTGTTAACCCACTTTCATAATGTCGTCTTGTGCCCTCAAACTTTCTTTCATTTACCATACTTAATTAATCCAAACAGTGTATAAAAACCAATGCAAATGGCTCAATGATGGGTGGGAAGCTAAAATTATTGGGCAAGACGTCAGACCAAACATAATGAACCACTCTTGTCCTGACACGTTGCTGGGGGGTTTTGTCATTTTGCTTCTCCTGTGTTGGGTTTGTTTGTATATTGATGCATTTGGAGAGCATAATTCGACGTAGATTCCAATATGGCCATTGGGCGCTTTCCTTGCCTCGGGACAAACACGTCTCCGACATCATTGTTTGATTTTTATTTAGTTGAAAACAAGACAAGAGACGAGAAGGAGGCTCTAGGTTAGCGTGATGAATTGTCCTCCATCTGTTCGGTTTTATGTAATTTACCGTTGGAGACGGAGGTTGTGTAATCTACCTAATTCTAGGTACGTACGTAACCTAAACTTTGAAGGAAAGAGTGAAGAAGCCGAATAACAAAGTAGCAGTATTTATGAAAATTGGGTAATCATCATATCATAAAATGGGCGGGCTAGCTTTAATAATTGTGTAGGAAAGTCATCAGCCTGTTTATTTTTCTATGGAATATTTGGAAGAGGATAATACTTTGAAGATACCTTCAAGATTCGATATGCTCCCCCAACAACACCAAGGCCCACGGACCCATTAGTCACCACCAGTTCACAGAGGCGGTTGAAACTTTAGGTTTTTTTAGGTATCATTATGTAATTATGCCTTAGTCATTAGGGTTTGGAACTAGAGATGGCAATGGGTCGGGTTGGGTCGGGTTTTGCCAAACCCAAACCCAAACTCATGGGTTTATCCGTGAAAAAAACCCGGGGTAAAACCCACTGGGTTTGAAAAACTCAAACCCAACCCAACCCGTTGGGTATCCGCGGGTTCATGGGTACCCACGGGTTTTTGTCGTAAAAAATTTACAATAACAAGTTCCTATCAAAATTAAAGTCAAATATCAATCTCTCAATACAAATTATCCATATTTAAAACACCATTCTAGAAAATTCAAGCAAATCACAAATTAACTATACAAATTGTTCAACACCAATCTAGAAAACTCAAGAAAATTGAAGTAAATCATAAATTATCCATAAATAACATATTAATTGAAGGCTTCTTCCTTTCAATTAAGTTTCTTCACTCTCCACTCGATAACACAAACTTCATTCTACACAATTAGAAAGAAAAAATTAGACATGTCTCCACAAACATAAATAAGATTAGTTGTTTAAAATATTAAATATACCGAGAAAATTAATTATATGTGTGGGCGGGTACCCACGGGTCGGGTTTACCTAAACCCAAACCCAACCCAACCCGGTGAATAGTGAACGGGTTTAAACCCAAACCCGACCCAAAACCCGTCAACACGGATTTTACCCGCGTTGACCGGATTGGGTCGGGTGGGTACCCGTGGGTTCGGGTTTGGTTGCCATCCCTATTTGGAACCCTATGTTTGGTCTGGGTTTTAGAAGTGCTTTTCGACTTCAAAAGCTGAAGTAGGGCCAAACACCTCTAAAAGCTCGGCTTTTGAAAAGCCGAAAAGCGCTTTGTATAACATAAAAGCAGAAGCTCCGATTTGGAGCTTTTGCGAAAAGCTGTTTTGAAAATACAAGATTATCCTTACAATATTTTAATTTTATTAATTTTTCTTCATTTATATCATTATAAAAATAAAATAAATTATAAAATCATATTATTTAATATAAAAGAAATCTAACAAGATCCATTTTTACTACTTTTTATTGTTTAGAATTTTTATTCATATTTTATATTATAAGTTCTTTATAGTCATTTTACACAACTGCTCATATTAAAAAGCACTTATAATAGTTTTACAGCCAAACACTAAACTGCTTTTTTTGAAAAGTACTTATCTAAAAGCTCCAGTTAGAAACTACTTCTGCAAAAGCTACAGCAGGGCCAAACTAAGCTATAGTAACCGTCTAACCTAATTAATTAGCTAATAAGATTGACTTGGAGAGTTTAGACTCTCTCGTGAACCAGTCTTATTAATCAAGAAAATTACATTAAATGTGAAGTTCTTGTTCTTTAATTAAATTTAACATTATATCATAGCATTCTGTTACCCAAAGATATTCCAATGACGAAGGACTACTAATATTAATAGCAGCAGAAAGGAGCAGATGCCTGTAAACAATTTAGGGTGGGTCAGGGTCACCCTCTCTAGTCTCTACAGTCCCCACCAACAAACAAACAAACAAAATTAATCATGTCAAAAGTGTCACAGCTTTCTTTCCTTTTCCTATCATTTGCTGTTATTGTATAGTTAACTCATAACTGGTTACCCATACCCACAATTGTTCTCGCACATGCACGCATCCGCCTAAAACAATTCAGGATCATGATGTCGTATCGGAGATCATACGTGACAAAGTAGTTAGTCTTTATATTTACATGATCAAATCATTACCAATTTGATGCTTTTACGTATCTTGGTGCATAGGAGTTGTGTTAATTGTTACAGACGTAATTGCATTTGTATGGTTATTGTACTTGTTGCTTGGAAGCGACCACCAGTGATTAAGAATTGCTGGGCACTTAACTATCTAGACCATCATGCCTTGAAACAAGCTAATTTGCCGCCGTGGTTATTTCTCGATTGCTAATTACTTTGACACAATTTTTTTTACCTTTTCACAGATGGGGGCAATTGCAGAGGCAGCAAAAATCGACTTCGTGATATCAACGGGAGATAACTTCTACGACGACGGATTAACAGGAGTCGACGACCCCAACTTTTACCACTCATTTGCAGACATCTACACAGCACCCAGCCTGCAGAAGCAGTGGTACAACGGTAGTTAATTTACCCTGGTTGGTTTCACTGTTTCAGCACCATAATAGCAGTAAAAAAGTTGGACCAGGTAAAATCATTTTTTAACCTAGTAACTCCATGCAAATGCTTCCAGTGTTGGGGAACCACGACTACAGAGGCAACGTAGAAGCACAACTGAGCACAGCCCTACAAGAGAAGGACCCCAGATGGCTCTGCATGAGATCCTTCATTCTCAACACCAACCTGGCCGAGTTCTTCTTCGTCGACACCACGCCTTTCTCCGACAAGTACTTCACCGACCCGGAGGACCACGTCTACGACTGGAGCGGCCTCATTCCAGACCGAGCTACCTACCTGTCCAACCTCCAGGCTGATCTGGACTCGGCTCTCAGGGTGTCGAAGGCAAGGTGGAAGATCGTGGTGGGGCATCACACGATCAAGAGCGCGGGCCACCATGGCAACACCGTGGAGCTGGAGGCTCAACTGCTTCCCATCTTGGAGGCACACGATGTGGATCTGTACGTGAATGGGCACGACCACTGCCTGGAGCATATCAGCAGCAGCCGGACCAAGCTTCAGTTTCTCACCAGTGGGGCAGGGTCGAAAGCGTGGAAGGGTGATATCAGCTCGTGGGATCCCAAGGAGATGAAGTTCTACTACGATGGCCAGGGGTTCATGACGCTTCAGATCTTGTCGGATGAAGTTCGTGTTGTTTATTATGGCATCGAAGGTGAAGTCATGCATCAATGGAGCACGGCGGACTTGTCGGTCTCCCAAATATAGTAGCATCAAAACCACACTAGTACTGTTACTACTTCAGAGATTTTATATTCATTCGAGTATCTCTCACTACGTGATCCTCGCCTTCTATTGTACCTTTGTCACTGTAATCAGCAATGGCATTTATGGTACTGGTTAATCCCATGGTCTTGTAGTTATCACTTGGTAAGGGTAACTTATTCAAATCTTAACGAATGATTGGCTAATCTTAACACATAACATAAATACTTGAACGACATACCAGGCTGATACTCATGCCAGATGGAGATGGAAAAGAAGTACCAGATTCTGCAGTGGCATAGAACTCGAGACCATTACAAGGTAGCTTTATATATGATTTGCTGGGTTTTCCAATGAGGTAAGCTCATTACCAACTCTTTCTGTAGTCTACGAGAATAGCGTTCCAGTTCATCGACCGAAACAGTGAACTCAGCCCAGTCGAATTCATGCAGACAGCATTTATCGTCACGAAACATCTTATTCGCCAGTTCATTATCCTTCACAAACATGGATTTCATAGAAGCAACCGTCCCCTGCTCCAACTCAGACAGTAAACTTATTTTCCTCCTTCTAACTCCCTCGGAATCTTCTGGTGTTGTCCCCTTCCACAGATAAAATTGTACCGCCTGTTCAAAAAGGTCAAACTGGGATCACTTCACCCTAAACTCCAAGAACAAGACACAGAATTTAAGCAAATGGGTTTATAGAATCTTTAGCCGAGCAGTTCAATACTGAACACATGACACAGTAATTTTAAGCACAAGTATTTCAATCTGCTAAATTTACCTGCAGTGCATGCAACACATTGGTGAACTCTTGCTCAAACAGCACATTACTCCTTGCTAGTTGCAGGGGCTGCTGCAGCAGTTCAGAGAAATCAGAACAAGATAACTCTTCTTCGGTAGAATAGACATCAAACCCAGCAACATAAATCCTTGCACAACATATATCAAACCCCGATTCTTCATTCTGCTCTTGATCCGGACAAAACCAGTACATATTGCTGGAAGCTGGCTTAGGCAGCAGCAACTCTTCGGAAACTTTGCTTGAAGAGCAAGGCATGTTTGAAGACAGAAGGGATATAAGTTTAGTATCTTCATCATGTGCACTGTCGCGGCTAAACCACATTGCGAGGGTCAATCTTTCTCCTTCAAGTATCTGTCAATCAATGGATCTCCAAGTCAAAATTAGAGTACAGAAACAATATACTACAACAGGCAACTGGGACTGCTTCAACTATATGTCAAGAATACCTCATCCACCAAATGAACATTACGGTCATCAGCGGTATAAATTGAAACAGCCTGTAAAGGATGCAATCACAAGCAATCAGACTACAACTCACTTCACATCACACCATTCTATTACTGAACTTGTAACTGAAAAGCGATTACCCCGGCGGTTGGGACGACAGTACTCGGGTGACCATCCCGGAAGTGGAAAAGGCCACCTTTGAAATCCTGGCCATAAGTGTTCAGATAGCAGACTGCCTTTGACAACAACAGAAATCATATCAGAAAATAGCTAACAGTGACCACAAGATTGAACAAATGGAGAAACAGAGAAGGGAGAAGACGCATAGATACAGTGAAGTGACGCTGTTTGAGGTAAGGCCTGTTGTCATCAGTGTGCCAGCCTATGCTTGCACCACGCGTCCAGCTGCAATTGTAGTAAGCAGCGGAGTGGTGATTACTACAAACGAAGAGCAAAGCATATATGCGAGAGAATTCGAGAGAGAAGGAGAGAAATGAGGGGTTAACCTAATTAAACCGGTGAACTCGACGGAAAGCTCGTACTCGCAGCCGAAGAACTCCTCGACCTTTTCTCTCAGGCGGTCACGGATGGAGAGGAAAGGTATGATGAGGTGCGGAGAATTGGTGGCGATGAGGTGAGACAGAGTGGTGGAGAAGACGTTGGGACGGTAACCGACGGTGGAGCAGCTCCGATGAATGAATTCCAATTCCTACCAAAATTCCCAAGTTCTTTCAAGTTGGCGGTGGAAAAAAAGAGATTTGATCGAAGAAGGAGGAAGAGACAGAAACCTTGCACTCTTGAAGGGAGAGGAAATCGGGGATGATGAGGCGCGCCTGATTCTGATTCTCGCCGGTTGTATCGTCTTCGTTTCCCATCCTCTTTCTTCTTCAATTTACGCTTTTCCCATTTTCCATGGTGTATAAAGGTTAAGTGACCGAAATCCCAACAGCAGTTCCGGAGGCAGGGACGACGCCGCCGGCCTGGGGTTCGGGAGTTCTCTATTGCATTTTGATCCTTGAAAAAGGGATTCTAGCATTTTAATCCATGTACTATTAACTTTTGACAAACAAGCTATATGTGACTTAGACAGATTATACATAATCTACGTTAAAAAAACGTCCAAATCTCGTATACTAGTGTGGCCATTCAATATTTCATATGTATGTTCCTGATGATTAACATATCCGCATTTTGTATTTACGTAAATGTGCAATCGATCGTGTACCCAACAAAGCGTGCAATCGTTTGAGAACAAGCAATCCCTCTTTTCAGCATAACCACAATGAGCGAATGAAGACTAGGTGACACAACATGGAAGCACAATAATGAGAGATTCTCATTGTTAAGAACATCAAAAGTAGGCTAGGTGATGATATAATGATGTTAAATGGAAGGAGAATGAGGTTGAGGTTTTCTCATCCAAAACCGAATTGATCCTAGCGAGTGGTACTTCTATATTATATAATGAGACACCAAAAATAGTATCAGAGTAGACAGGAAACATAGGAAAAAAAAGGGAAGTAAAGAGAAATGGTAAAAGAGAACCACAGCCAAAAGCTTCTCTTACCATCATCTCCTACCTCCAAGCTCTTCTTCTTCTTCCCACCATCTCCTTTCAGTCTCCCCCACTCAGTTGTAACTATGAGATGATCCATGTCAAATAGTCTCCAATGTTTCGCCGCCGCTCTTTACATTTTTTGGTTCCAAACTCATTGCTTACCACCGTTCTCCTACTCTCTTCTCTCACTTGCCAAAATCTCTCTCTCTCTCTCTCTCTCTCTCTCTCTCTCTCTCGCTACACTCCATTAGTTTCTGCAACCTGCTCTTCTGCCTTGGCTGCCTTTTCTCCATTGCATTCCTGTTTCAACGTGGCCTTCGCTCCCTGACTAGGCTTCTCCTGCCCCCTTTCTTTCTCAGGTGGGGAAGGAACCGAGTCTGTAGCAGCAGTGTCATTTGTTGCTGGAGGCAGGAAAACGCCAGTCCCAGGGACGGGCACGAGGACAGTTGGCAAGCGCGGTGGGGGGTGCCTTTGACCAGCTGCTGCTGCCCAGGTGGCTGAAACAGGAGGAGGGATGGGAACTGGGGAAGGGAAAGGCACCTGTGCTGCAACTGGAGAAGTCACAAAGAGTGGCTGAACACCATTCGGGTGATGAGCTCGAATCGGTGGTGCAGGCAGTACACCAGTTGTTGGAACATAGTGCTTTGGCCCAGCATAACGAACATGATGAGTTGGCGATCTACTTGGCGGTGGACCCCAGTGAGAGGATGAATGGGCTGCTGTGTTGGATAATGGTGCATAACGCTGTGATGAACCATCACCAGGGGAGAATTTCCTAGGCAGGGACTTGGTGAAGGTGATGAGAATTCGCTGCTTTCGAAGTGCAGGAAGAGCATGCCTTGCATAATCAGAGGATTTCCCTTGCAACACCAGAAGCGATCTGAGAAGCAACATATATTAGTGAATGATTCAAAATGAGACAAATGCAGGTGTCTTTGAAATACTAAAACAAGGTTATACCCACCCAGGCTCAGCAGCTAGCTTGAGAGAGCCTCTGTAGTCTCCAGCATGATCTGAATTAATCACTCTACCAAACACCATCTCACACCCAGTCAAGCAAAGAATGGCCACAGGTCTTCCATACCATGAAGGGCATATGTAAGGCTGCGAGTGGTCACCCTACAGGAAAATTTTCAATTAAGGATTAACATACAGGACACGAAAAACCAACTTCCAGCTACAGGACGCATATATAACTTGGTAGCGTTAAGCAACCTCGTTGAAAATATTGATCATGCAAGAATCTGGCTTTGTGGTCATGATTTGTGTGCCAACCATACGGTCAATGACATCTTGCAACAGGGGAGGGATTGGTTCAGTTTTCTGGTCTGCATCATTCACTCAGCATGAAAATACTAGTTAGACATTATATCCACAATCAAGGCTTAACAAAATTGCAAGAGAAACTGTAACTTGCCTTTAGGGGTTTCTTCTTCTGCAGGTCCATCGGCTATAGGAAGACCCAGTTGAATCATCTCTCTTCCATGTCCTCTCATAGGTCGCCTTGAGGCAACATATGTTTGACCTGCTTCACAGAAAGCACAAATAACCCTACGACATTAGTAGCCTCATCCAACTATTCCTTTGATGAACTCTCATTCGATGATGCAATTCATACATAGACATGGAGAGAAACAACCACGACTCGTATTTAACCGAAAAATGAAACCAAGCATCCAAACCATGCACTGAAAGGTACGAGGAAAAAAAAACGACCAAACTGAACTTCCAGTATCTTTGACGCTTAATGGGCTCCAAAGTTAGAAACACAATGAACATATCATGAATAATTGATAATGTTATCTATGACCAACCTGCCAGTGGCTGTTCCATGACATTTTCATGGATACTGATAAAACTAACAAAATTTTCCACCTAGGATAGCATCCGGGAATAAATGATTCACAGTCAACAACTTGAAAGGAAATCTGATAATGAACTTACCTTGAAATTTCCCTGCTCTGCCTGCAGCCTTGAGATCATTAACCAATGAAACCAGTTTCGGAATTTCGGAGTCGTCAAGCAACTGCTCATACATCTTTAACCCATCGACAACATTAACCTACAGCAGAAATCACCAAATCTTAAGAGAAGGGAAAGACGAAGAGAACCCCCAAGAAAGAGAGAATCTACTATCCATTTTTCAGTCCTTCAGAAAAAGAACAGAAATACTAAAGTCATTCTATCACAAAACTTACCGTCTTTCCATCAATTATCTCTGTTCCAATGAAGGTCTTTGGACTGCCACTGGGATTTGGCATCTCATTCTGATTCTGACTGATAACCGAGTTGTTCTCTGCAGATAAGATTTTGCATTACCACAAGAAAAGTTCCAAACTAGAAAACACTCAAACAACAAAACAATAACAGGCATAGTAACAATAATGACAGCATGATACCACCCAAAGGAACTTCTTAGAGAGAATACAGGCGGAACAGAGTGATAATGAACCCTTGGAAGCCTGACAAGCACAAGTGCAAATAATGAAGGAACACCTTTGGGAATAAGTTGATCATCAGCAGCCACAGACTCAGGTTCTGAATTCCCAAACACAGTTTCTTCTGAGGTTCGACCACTCTTTAAGTGGCTATCCTTGTGTGGCAATGTGTTAGCATCTGCTTCAATAACCAGAAAGTACAGGTATCAGTACTTCTTCCAAAAATGTTCAAGGTATGTTGACAATCCATGATGTTATGCACAAGCACTAGGATTTTGAGGATGCAACTCAATCGCATTTTAGACATAAAGTTCACCATGCCTCGACCAGAATGTCCCACCAGGAAATTAGCAAATCAACAGATTACCAGCTGCGATTTTCTCAACACTTGTACTGTCTTCCCTATGAGGGTTCCTAGTAGTTTAATAAGTAGGACACGGTTGTGAGTACCTAAAGGCTTAGAATTAAAGACTATTGGATCTTTCTTTTACCACTTTTAGGGAAAAAGAAAAAACACATCAAGGTGGGGACTACTCCTGACACTCTCGAATTTTCATTGACGTTTTTTGTTTCTTTTGGGTCAAGCATGCCAGAGGGAGAACCTACTTTGGCCATTGAGCCAATAATGATGATCACCTGATCATGGAAAGAGGGTGCCAAGTAATCTTCCAGAGTTCAGTATAACAGTCAACTTCAGAGTAGCAATATGCAACACAACAAATTGTCACAACGGGTGTCCATTGCAGTAAAGTGCAAAACAATTGCAACAGAAACCACAAATACCATGGAGGTTTACCTCAATTCAGAAGAAAAATCACATCAATGTACAACAGAATTGCAATCTAAGTGAGTTGGACGCTTTCCTTATCAGTCAGTAACACACAAAGGTCCAAATTTACCACAAATAGCACCTTCCATAATCTATCTTTGCATCCAAATAAGACCCTCTATACCAGCACATATATAGATATCTTGCCCATTTAGGAAAGCACCATACTTCTTGAAATCATTCAATACAAGACAGGTGGTTCCAAACACATTCAATACAGTCACTTAAGTCTCAAAATGGCCAAATGTGGGTATGCAGAACAATCCTAGCATAAGCCAGGGCTAACGGAAGCATACACCATGCCATAAACACTAAACAGAAATCAGTAGCAACCATAAACTACAGTGATTACCTTTCTTATCCTGGGCAACTGCTGAAACCTTCACGTCCATTTTACCATTACTCGCGCCTGATTTAGGATCCTCCTTTGTCTCACTACTTCCATTTCCTGAACCATTGCCATCTAAATTGTTACTCTCTAAACTAGTACGAACATACTCTTTTGGTGCTTCACTCCCTCTATGGCCTTTGTTAAACCCTGCACCACCAAAAGACCTCTTGAATTCTTTGGCACCAGCCCTGGGCTGATCAGAATAGTATCTATTGTACTGGTGCTGTTGCGGTTGCTGCTGCTGTTGTTGTTGTCGCCTTAGCACAACCTGCTGCAATGCGAATACCACCTCACCAACAGAGAAATACTGCTGCATATGAAGCACCGGGTTCCAGTTGTACCTCCTTTGCTGAATACAACCTATAGCTAAATCATAGTCCCCCGGCTCACCGACCGCCTTTAGATGGTGGCAGAGAGCATCAATCATCGCATTTGCAGCAGCGAATTCCCCTCTCAACCAAGAGATGAACCCATCACGCTCGTCCACAGGGAACCACTGCTGTCGAGGGTGGATCTCATTAGCTCCGCCGCCACCGCCCACACTGCCGCCGCCACCACCATACTGTATTTTATCGGACATCGCCACATTACCTGATGGAACAGCCATTTCCTCAAAGAAAAACCCGACAACTAACCCACAATTTGTACGACTATCAGGCAGAAAACATGGCCAGCTAGAAAAGCCTCAGATCTATATTAGATTGCTGTAGCTCCAGAGAATTTTCCCAGAATCTCCTTTAAACCTCCAGTAAACTCCCTCACCTATTTCAAAGCGGATCGCACAAAATCAAGCTGGGAATCAGCTCAAAATAACGCAAAACAAGCAAATTCAAGAGCCAAGATACGAAATTTACTTCATATCATTCATTAACTAGCCAATGGGTAGAATAGTAGCACAGCATTAAAGAGAATCCAGCAAACAGAGAAAAATCGGTTAATATCTGTTCTTGTCCGCGTAAACTGATGAATGAATGAGCTTAAGGAAAACCCGAGAGAGAATGTGGGTTTAAGAAATCATATAGATCTGGCAACTGGGTTTTGGAAGAATCAAAGGAAAGTCTCTAACTTTACGTGCGTTTGGGGTTGTGAAGTGAGTGAGTGTTGGGTAATGGGTACAGTTTGGGTTGTTTTTCCTTCCTTTTTCTATTCTATTTTTCCCCCTTTTTTACAGAGTGATGAATGATATGGGGGAAGGAAACCTTGAAAAGCAAGAAATGAAATATATAAGTCAAGCTAGCCAGGCTCTCCCTTCCTTCCTTCCTTCCTTCCCAACAACTGGAGAACAAAAAAGAAGAGATGGGAAAGGATCTAGGGTTTTGGAGCTGCTGCTGGCTGGTGGACTAATGGGGAAGAAGGTGTCTTGTTGCGAATAAATAGTGATGAAAAACTGGTGACCTCATGGAAAAATTCCTTTATTTTGCATTACGTGTCCATTTTTCTTTCTGCTCTAAATGGTAAGTATTAAATTTTGGATTGTGGTACCGTCTTAAACTGCCTCATTGTATTGAGAAAATGTTTGTATCTACTAGAAGAACATGTTAGAAAAAACATGATAACTTGACAACCTCATGGTATATCACCTGGTATGTGTCGACTAATTTTTTTAATATCGATATATTATTAGTCTGCTAGGGATTGAATCAAACTTAGCTAAATTTTATTGTGCTAATTTGCTCCATGCAATCTCTTATACATTTTCAAAAAGCCAATGGGAAGATGAGATGAGCTCTTCAATGGTGGGTGGGCTATATTTACAAAAGAAGAGTGGAGGAGAAAAACTGGCATTTGTTTCCTTTGTTTTTGCTAAGAAAGGTTTAGGATTCCATGTATGTCTCACCTTCCTCCCCTTGGCTGGTGGTGGGCTGTTATAGGATCATCAACAGAATATTCTATTTTCTCCTACTGCTGGAGGTGCTTGTGCCATTTTTACATTTGCTGAATTTTTGGTTTAGTTGTTATAACTTGTTATACGAGTCAAAATTGTATGGCTCCACAAATAGAGACACATTCACTCTCATTCCTTTCAAGACAAAAAAATAGGTTTGACTAGTTTATTTGATTATCTGATTGAACATCAAGTATAAACTAATTTTAGGTTTTGTAAAAGATTCTTATGTTGGTGATCACTAACACAAGATTATCCTAGATCTATGAAACATCAATATAGCGTCAAGGTAATATTTCACCTAAATCACTCAATCGTTATCAAATAGTTCTTCATTTGTGAGATAAGACATTAATTCAGGTTTAGTTGTCAATGCAATCAACTCTTGATCGATAAATTTTGTTGTCAATGCAGTCAAAGTTAGGACACCAATGATTGTTGGCTCTAGAGTACTGTACTTATAGATCTATCGAAGCAGAATATATTGTTACTTGAACTTGTCCCACATATTGACCTAGAGATGCCTATAGATATTGATCAAGGTTCTACGAAATGAGAGTTTAATGTTGATATATTACGCTCCATATTTTGGATGTATACAACATCTCACATTGGTATGTGAATTTGATAAAAGCCTCGATTATAAACCTAATTTGTAAGTCTTAAATGAAATGAGTCTCCTTTGTACATATCATACGAGATGCAATGAAGACTTTGATCAAGAGAGGAGGTTAGTGCCGCTCTTGAAATATTAAACTGTCTTTGTTCAATAAAAGGACTTTGAGAACTCGCAAAGAAATACAAGATCAACGGAGAAAGGTAATGATGAAAAAATTAAGTATGAGTGTTGCTCTTGAAATATTAGCATGTCTTTGTTGGTAATGCCAATGGTTTGGTTCTCTCTTTTCGCTTAGCTGCATCTTAGTTCTCGTCGCATTTGTTTGGGGTTTGAGGATTGAAGGAACAACATAGTTTTCCCTCATCTTGACTTGGATTAACAGTAGCACGCTACACACTATATAGGATAACTGTCATATGTCAATAGACAATCACTTCTTTTTTTTTTTACTAAGAACTTCGTTTCATTCCAAGAGAAGCGGTTACACAGGAGAGAGGATTACAAGAGAGGGGAGATCAGGTTCAAAATGGTAATCCAATCCTTGGGTAGCTCATTGCGAGCTAAAGACCTAGCTACCCAGTTAGCTCTAGAGTTAAACTTGCGTCTGAAGAAAGCTACTCTGACACAACTACATCGTCGTAGGGTGTCGCACATGATCCACAGCCAAACCGAAACCCTCAAAGGCCAAGAGGTACGAGGGGCAGCAAGAGCTAAGACCAGGTTGAGGCCGTCTGTTCTGACGAGACAGGGGACATCCTGGGCTTGGCAAGCAGGATCGCTTCAAGCAGAGCCTTTGCTTCCGCTTCTAGTGGAGATGAACAAAGTAGAGTACTAGTCTTCCCTTCACAAACTTCACCATGGCTGTTGATGCAGATAACGCCATAAGCCGCCTTTTGGGGGTCATTTATGAATGACCAATCACAGTGATTCTCGAAATCGGGATTGCTCGCCGGTGGAGAAACTTGGTTCTGGGGTACCCTAGACTGGTGGGCAAAAAATGGTTGGTTTCTGATGGGTTTAGGGCAGGAAACCCACTGGTTGAAGTTATCGATAGCATTGGTGCATATTGATGGGGGCCATGGTTGAGTCACCCTGAAGACCTTTTCATTTCTTGTCTTCCAAGTTTGCCACAAAAGAAAGACAATCCTCTGCACATTCGTCATTTTCATTGACTTATGGAGGTTGAAAAGCCAGTCGAGAACATTAAGCAGTGGTGGAGGGGTAGGGACAGAAGGAAAGGCATGATTCCAAGCCTCAACAGCATGCTAGCATTGGAAAAGGCAATGATGGAGAGTCTCATCCTGATAGTCACAAACCGGGCGTGCTGAGTTTGGTGCACAATGACGATTATGCAACTTCCTTTTTGTAGTAAGTGCACCTTGAGAGCATTTCCAATACAAAATTTCATCTTGGGGGGGGGGGGGTAGAGAAAGGCTCCATAACCATTTTCATCTCTTCTTCTTTTCTGGGGTAATGGTGTTAGTGTGTTACCATTTTGAGATTCAACTCTCTTGATTTCTGAGAAGAAATGGTAGGCAGAGTTCACTATAAACTTACCCATGGGATTGGGTTTCCATGCCCAAAAATCATTTACATCATGTAAGCCAATCGATATATTCCTAATCATGCTCTCTTGCTCCGGAAGCATATGACTTGTCAGTTCTTGCCCCCTCTACTCTCTGGAAATGGGATCAATCCATTTCGCCACCTTCACTTGGCTGGACGAAAATCCTTGTAAACAATCGCCCTCAAGATCTGGGATCCATAGATCATGAAACACCCTTGTTTCCTCCCCTTTTCCAATAACTCTCACAATTCCTTTCTTCATTCTCTTCCTGACCTCCCAAATGTTGGACCATATCCATGATGGTTGTGACCCCTTCTTTGCATTCATGAAATCCGTTCTTGGGAAGTAGAGTCCTTTCAGAAGACGAGCCCAGAGGGAAGTGGGGGACGTGAGGAGCCCTCATGCTTGTTTCGCCAGTAATGCTAGGTTAAATTACTTAAACATCCGAAAGTCGATGCCCCCTTCACTTTTGGGACTGTAGAGGGAGGTTCCCTTCACCCAGTGGATCGACTTTTTCTGTAGGGATCCAGACCAAAAGAACCTTCTAAGGAGTGAATCCATCTTCTTTGTAGTCCAGTCTGGAAGTATGAAAAGGCACATAATGAATGTAGGCAATGCTTGGAAAACTACTTTGAGTAGCGTCTCTTTTCCTCTTGGTGAAAGTAAAAGGCTTTTCCATCCTTCTCCTTTCCTTCTCATTCTGTAGATTAGGAATTGGAAGGTTTCTTTCTTGGACATTCCACATTTTGTAGACACTCTGAGGTACTGAGAATGGCAATTGGAAGGTGTGAAACCAATGGTGTTGATGATACTCTCTCTTTCATTCGTCGGCAGATTGTGGGTGAAGAAGATAGATGACTTGTTCCCATTGACCTCCTCTCCCATGATTGCTCTATAGTTCTCAATGATTCCCATGATCTTTGTCGCTTCCACATGTGTGAATTTCCCAAAGATGACAGTGTCATCAGCAAACAGGCAGTGGGTAAGTAGTGGGCAATGTTGGTTAAGCTTCAGCCCCCTAATCAGGTTGTCAAAAATAGCTTGGTCAATTAAGAATGAAAGTGCATTAGACATTAAAATGAATAACAGGGGGAAAGTGGGTCTCCCAGACGAATGCCTCTTTCTGGGGTGAACTCCGTTGTTGTCTCTCCATTGAATAGAATAGAGAATTTCACCAAAGTGATGCATTCCTTAAACTAGTTACACCATTTTTAGTCAAAAACATAGGCTGAAAGAAGCCGAATAAGGCAATTCCAATCCACAAGATCGTAAGTTTTTCTCATGTCCAACTTGAGCATCATGTCTCTTCTATTTCCCATTTTGTGTTTCTTAAAGTGGTTGAGGACTTCATGTATGATCACAATATTATCTTGAATGTGTTCCTCTTTGTCCTCCACCGCCGATCGAATCGGAAGGGGGTCCGTCTTGTTGATTCTCGATGATCAATGTCCACTCGAATTGGGCAGTGATCGGACTTGATTATGTCTTCGTGGAAAACAGTGGCATTCGTGAAGTTCTGCCTCCAGGACGTTGAGCATATTGCTCTATCCATTCGTTCTCTTATGAGTTGTGAGCCTTGTTGTTTGTTCGACCAGGTGAACGGTTGTCCTTTGAATCCCATATCAATGAGGGTGTTCTGCTGCAGAAAATTAGACTATCACTTGCTTGTGGTCATATCGATGATTCAAGCTACTGAGAGTGGCTTATGGCTTTTTCAAATCTACACAAGAATTTCCTTTACAATAAGGTCGACTTTATTCCACCTTGGTTTAAAAGATATACCCAATCATACTATATCAGAATTATGATCTAATATTGATCCAGTTATCAAGAAGGGAGAATCTAGTTAAGGAATGAGCAACCTAGTCTACCCTATTGTTTTGCCTTCTCCAAATCTCTTCAATTTTGGTTTAAGGGTTCAATCTTAGAATGGACACCATCCAACCAAAAACTTGATAGGGCAAAAGCGCAATGCCTTAATCCTATCTCGTAGTAAACCGGAAAGTCCGGGTATCGTCTCTCAGGGACTGGTACAACCTTAAGATTTACCGATTTAATAGAGCAAACTATAGGTGAAAATGATTTAATGAGATTATTAACTACTAGCAAAATTAACTAAACAAGCAAATTAAAGTATCGGGTTTAAATCAATGGGAGAAAGCTCTGGGAGAAACACCGGGATTCACTACCTATCCTATCCAGATTAATTCACATACTCCAATCAATTTAATCCAACTCTCTACAGCCAGGATATCACGAATGTGCTAGCTATCCCTGTCGGGAATTACTACGTACTAAACAATTAAATCAAATCCTACTGTCGTAGCTCAATGACCTAATTATTTAGCCTGAAGATCGATATCCTATTTAAGACCGCATAGCACCTTATTTAATCCACTGTCGCTTCGATAAGTTACTATGTCACATGAAATAGGTTCAGTTATTAGGGTTTCACTGTCGCTAATAACCTAATTAACTACAAATCGATGTATTGGTGGCCAGTCAACACAAAGCATTAAGCAATTTCATGCAATAGAGATTGGAAGAAAAGAATCATAAATCAATCCATCAAATCAAGAAATAGCTACATCCTATGGTGTTTCCCCCTGAAATTGGGGTTTAGTTCATGACGAAATCAAAACAAACAATCATATTCATCATGAAGCTAATCAAAGACAAGAAACGAAAATACTCAAACGCGAGCTCCAGCGCTTGTCCTCGCTGGCGATCGCCCAGCGCTGCTGCTTGCGTTTAATTCCCTCGTTCCGCCTCCTGCCTCCTGCTTTTCTCCAATTATTCCCTCGCTGCGCCCTCTACAGCCAAAAGTGCCGCCTCCCTTTTTTTTTTGCCTCCTGAGAATTTCGTTTTTCTTTCAAACAAGCTTCCGTCCAATTATGATTCCGCCTCCCAATAATAATAATTCCCTTCCGGCCGCTTCCGCTCCAAAATCCAAAGAGATTTTCCAAACCCAATTCACGTCCAAAAGTAAGGCTAAAAGTAATTGCCACCCACAGTTCGTTTCTTTTGTTCCGCCTCCAAAAAGAATTTCACTCAAGTCCAAAAGTCCAGCCCAAGCCCAAGCCCAATCCCGGTTCAACTCCTCAGTAAGTTCCGGTCCAATGTACATCCAGTCCACTTGAATTATTCTATCCACCAATGCAAATTTCTCGTTTCATTTACCTGAAATATATAAAACATTTGGCACTTGATGGTAATGGTTTTATAACCATTCCAGGCTTAGTTGGACCTCAAAAAAGTATTATAGGTCTCAAACATATGATGAAAAAATCACATTAAGCATGCAAAATCAATATGTTTTCGACAATTATCACAACTCCACACTCAATTGTTGCTTGTCCCTAAGCAACGACTCAAAAGACAGAAACACATAACCAACCATAACAATGACACACCACAGACTCACTAATCAGACAAAGCAAAATTTCCTTGTACTCTTGTTGTAATCAGTAGTTTCTTTCTCAACGGATGAGCTGTGCTTTATTGATCATACCCTTTCACCCCACACTCAAGGTCTTTGCAACCCTTAACCATTGACTGACTCAAATTCATCAAAAACTCAATTAGCAACACTCAATTCCGATCGTCGATAGTGGGTGGTTAACAACTTATGGTGCAACAATTATTAGGAGAATCTAACCACATCAGTGAGGTGCATATCTCGTGAGGACAATCTGGCTTACTCACACCAATCATAAGCAATTAATTAAGCACGAGTCTCAAAAACAAATGGGGGAAGCCTTTCGCAAACATGATTTTACTTTAAGCACATCACTACCTTTTATGACAAGGAGAGGCTTTCTCTCTTTCTACTTTTGCTTGCCGAGAGGTCGTATTTAGTACAAGTGGGATTTGTTTCTTACTACCGGTGACCGAGCAAGAGCAATTTCTGCTTCTTAGCACTCGCATAAGGGCTTCTTTTAACTCCTTTTCCTCGGTCCGTGTGGAGGGTCATTACATCCTCAAATGGCACTTCACTCAACTGGGGATCGTACTTGATAAGCAACATCGTACGGTCGCGAACCGATTCTCAATTGAATCTTTCCTCATCCCCATGTGCAATGAGTGATTGCCTCACACGATTTTGGCATTTTTACCCACACTTTAATTGTTATGGCAACTTTCTTAATTTTACTTGTCAGGTAGTGTTTTCTCATTTTATAAAGATACAGTTCACCCCATCATAAAACATTCAAAACAGAGAGACTCATTGCAAATTCAAAAGCTCACAATTGATGCAAGTAAGCATGGCATCCAAACATGTCGAATGGTCAATGTTCTCCACCTAACTACTTCACCAAAAGTCATTACACTATCCTACAAAAGAGAATGTTGCTAAAAGAGTTGCTCATTCAAAGCATATCAAGTCAGTCAAAACATTCAAGCTCATTGTGAAGAACCATGCAATTCAACACTAGTGGGGTGATTTTGATGATTTCATTCAAGCACAAACTCATTTTCAAGGCATCACACTCATTTACATCATGTTACCACAAGAGTACAAGGTTTTGTTTTTAATTTTTCTGATTTTTAGGTGTTTTTTGAGCCATTAGCTTTGCACAGGCAGACTGCTTTTTACACAGGCAGACTGCTTTTTACACAGGCAAACTGCATGCAGTTTGGCTGTGCTCAACCTAATGGCAATTTTTTTTTTGTTTTTTTTTTGGATTTTTTGTTTTTTTTTACCGACCACATGACAAAAGGAACAAAAAACAAATTTGAATTTTTTTTTATTTTGGATTTTTGGATTTTTTTTTTTTTACCACATGCAACAGGGACAAACAACACTAAGACTCGCCACCCCACACTCAGGATGGAACATTGTCCCTAATGTTCAACTCCTACTCTAAACATGCACGGGTTTGACACAACTAAAAAGAAAAATAAAGAAAAGAAAACTTACCTTGGGTTGCCTCCCAAGAAGCGCTTGTTTAACGTCCTCAGCCTGACGTTCATGGAGCTTTCAACCAATGGGTATGGAAAGGTATCCAGCATACCCTCCCGAGCAATGATAGAACGCATAACCTCCATCCAGCATATGAGTCACCTCTGCAGGGCCAGGTGTGCGAAAATTGGGTATGACCTTCTTAGCTGACATGTTGGACCCTTTAGTGAGGCGTAGGTGGTATTGCAGCGCCTCAAGCAAGTACTCTTCCTGTTTCAATGTCAGTGAAGAAGGAATAATAACAGGAATATTGAAATCCTTACCCAAATATCTATACTTGAGGTGACCTGGCAAGGATTTCTGCCCTTGCTTTGATTTCAGAATCTGAGCAGATAGGATAGGTGATAGTTCTTCGGATGGTCCACTATCACAGGAAGAGGGATTTTTCCTTTCTCGAGCTTCACTTTCAAATTCATCATGATTATGGTCAACTTGAAAGACATTAAAAATTTCCTCCTCCTTACCTACTCGGAATGTCAACTTGCCTCTCCCAACATCGATGAGTGCATCACCGGTTGCTAGAAAAGGTCTGCCGAGGATTAGAGGCACTCCCCGATCATCTTCCATCTCCAGAATCACAAAATCTGTAGGGAGAATAAACTTCCCCACCTTCACCAATACATTCTCCACCACTCCCTTTGGGATTTTTACTGATCG